GCTCCTCCAAAACCGAAAGAATTTATTCCTATATAACCGTTTTTAATTGGCGTTGATTCTTGAACGACACAGACACTTCCATTTTTTAAGGCATCTATATCATCTCGTGGTGATGTATAATTGATGTTTGGTGGAACAAAACCGGTTTCGAAGGCTATTACTGTCTTCAAGAAGTAAAATTAATTTTATAATATAAAGATGGGAGTAAAAATTACCAATATTGATAAAAAAATCAATTCCACAGTGTTTCTTGAAGCAGATATATGAAAGAGAAGAGTAACATTTTTAATGCCGAGACGTAGAAAATTTATAAAAGTGTAAAAGATTTTTAAAAACATTAAAATATATCATATAATACTTATACTATAGTATGTTATACTATACAACTATTGAACATTTCGTTTCATGTCGAAGAGAGCATATACTTATTATTTAACTATTGGTTTGCACTTATACAGTGAACGTGAAATAACCTATACACATACGAAGACACAGTGCTGATCTTAACATTTATACCGACCGTATTCTGTTGTCATTAGTTCTAGTAGTTTGATTTAAAAAATTATATATTTGTTTATATTAAAAATGATTGTTTTGTATAGGCTCGCGTGTAATATGCATCTGAAAATAAGTGTAAATATATATATTACACACTTCGCACAAGTCTAATTATACTGAAATAATAAATCTGAAAAATATTATCACATGTGTTGTACGTATTTCGTAATATAATACGTATAGTTTATTATTTTAATAATTTTCTCTACGCTCCCTAATATTATGAATGTTATTTTTCTCTTTCATGTATATTATGGAATACTGGGATTGGTTTCTTAAGTATTAGTCGGAAATCAATTTCCGGTAAACAATTTTTCATGCATGAATATGTATAAATATGTATAAACGTACATAAATATGTATAAACGTACATTATAAACGTGTATAATCATACATGAAATTTGTCCATAAATGTTCATACATTCCTCCTCCTTTTGTACAATTACTTTTTAGTGTAACAGAAATGATAATAATAATGTGAAAACATAAATAATAATTAAACGGACAATTTTTGCATTATTCGTTTCAGAAAAAAACACGTTTGGAGCAATGTAAAAAAAATTGCTTATACACAATTACGCATAACTTTATATATAATTATACATAAGTAATTTTCTTACATTTCTTCAAACTTGATTTTTTCTAAAACAAATAGTGTGAAAATTACCCTTTTAATTATTCTTAATATTTTCACATTACTATTATTATTTCTATTACACTAAAAAGTAATTTTACAAAAGAAAGAGAGATGTATGAACATGTATGGATATATTTCATATGATGATTATACATGTTTATGAATATTTATATATATTTATTTATACATATTTATACATATT